TGTTAGGAATGTCTGTTAGTCATCAATGTTGTCTCATAGCCAGCAAGCAGTGCTTGGCTTTGGCTCAGTTGGAATACAAACCTCCATCAGTCCACCTTTTGCAGATTTGGGATGTATTGTTTGAAGGCTGCTTTCTGTTTGCCAGGGGCTGCTTGCTCTTACCAATTGGAAAGCTGCCATAGAATTCTAAGTTTGAAAATTTGAATTGGCAGTTGTAAAGGTTGCTCAATGCTCATGTATGCCTAGGTAGTTTTAGTTGTTACAAAAACAATGTTTCGTAAATGTTAGATTAGAAAATGGACTGTATGGACATATGTTGTGCATTTGTAATCCAAACCTTTACTTCATTATTGAATGTAAAGTATATAGCCTGTGTGAAAATGAACTACACTGAGCTTTTAAACAGATTTTACAAAGTCCTAGACATTATTCAGATTTATTGACAACGTGTAAATACATTTCAAGTGTGATAATGAGATGTACTATAAAATAACTTGTGACACGGTTTTGGTTCCTAATCCCAAAAGACCTGTTCAAAACACGTGACACAAGGCTTTGTGGTGCAGTCTTTACCAGATATGCTTTGTTAGATTTCGTATTTACATATTTTATGTATTGTCCCAACAAAAATTTGATAATTTTCTACATTTTACATCCTGTCTGAAGTAATGGAAAAGACCCAGAGATGTTGTAAAATGGTAGTAGGCTAGACCTCCTCCTTAGATTGATATACTGTAAGTGACCTGAAAAGAGACATGATTGTTGATACAAAACCCTCAGGTACAACACAAACAGCAACAACAGAAGTGTCTAATGAGACTCTCAGACAGAATCAGGGGCTTATAGGTAGTGGCTGGCAGAAAACGAAAAACAATCAGAAGTGCAGTTCAGGTAACCAGAAGCTACTCAACCACAGGAATAGACTTTATTTTTCTTGAGAAGAAAGAGGTAGTCAGATCTGGAAAGGCATACAGCAGACTTCATAAATGGCAATTGTGTGCCAGGAGCTGCAGGAAATTGGACTTAGAACTTGACTGGAAATCCTCAAATGTCTGAAAAACTGACAAAGTAAACAACACATAATAGTAATGAAGGGAAATACTCTAATGTAACAATCCTATCCAGCAAAAAGCTTTTTGTTAATTAGTTTGACAGTTTAATACAAAGTCATTCACTAATAATGTATAATTTGACAGTTGTATTAACACACAGTCATCTCAACCCTCCTTGCTTATCCTATGAGACATTTTGTTTTATAATCCATTATTTTTTCCTTTAATGCAAGTGGACTCTATTGAGTCTTTGCTTAAGCTTTATCATTACTGAACAATATACTGTAGGTGGCTTCAAAAATAATTTCAGCAGAGAAAAATGTAATAGAAACAGTTTTCTCTATCCTTAAGTGAATAATTTTTGCTTTGTTTGTTTGTCACTGATTTACGTTTAGATGAGAGAATTGTTAGTTTCTATGTAGACAATGTTAGTAGTCTGAAATACCAGTAATAAAAGGATAGAATGTTGTGCTTTTCATAACAGAAGAACAATCAATGAGTTACTGTAATACTCTGTTTTAAAAGGCAAGTGGGAGTTAAATTAAATATAGTGGAAGCAAAACTGATCAATGTGTGATTGGGAATTAAATGCTATGTTATTCTGAAATCATTAGAAGTGCAAGCTCTTGTGGATATACAGTACACAAAATATCAGAAAGCAAACATTATGACCACAACACACATTGTTAATACTTAAGCATTATGATTAATCATCCACCACTCATGGATGCCTCCTACTGTTGCTTTTGGCAAATTGGTCCCACAAATATTTCCGTTTTCTCATATCATGTCATTATAATTTTATTCAAGTCATTTGAGTAATTCTAATACTGGCATCCTGGACTTATATTGTCCTCTGTGACAGCACTTGCAGATTGGCAAATCTGATGGAAAATCTGATGGTTGAAGGACTGAGCAGTAACATTGCTCTCAATCTGCACTAAAGGCATTCTTGTGTTAAAAAGAATTCCTTCCCACATTCCTACCACCAGACCAGATACAGTAGCTTGAACAACACATGTTCACACATCAGGTCTGTCAGAAATGGTCAAAAGTTGAATAAAACAATCCACAACCTCAGATGTCTTCTGGTCCAAAAAAAGGGAGTGATTTTGTTTCTAAGCTGTTTTATATGTTAACCTTACCTGTCCTCTGACCATGAAAATAACTATGTAATGGATATACTGTAGATGTTATGATCCTTGGATGACGGTGATACTTTTTTTCCTGCTCTATCTGGGCTAATCCTCTTATTGGCAAAGCAGAACATCTGATTTTCTGGATAACTTCTGAGGAGCCCTATACTATAAAATAGCCTGTGACACTATTTTGATTCCTTGTATCTGAGGAGATACAGTAGATAAAATAGTCATAGGGTTAAAGTACGCTGAATATTACAAATTAATGAAAAAAATAATAAGTTTAATAATTAAAGAAAAAAGGAATACCGTGACCAAGGCATGGGTGTCCAAACATTAGTAAGAAAAACTGCAAAATTATAAAGCATGTGCCTTATTCTCTTATTTTTCTGTTTAACTGTATATAAGGCAAATAAATATTGTATAAAACTCACAGCCATCTTTCTTTGGTAGTTACAAGGCATTGTATAACTTACAACTTACTTAATCATGTTAGGAGGTATTTTGCTAGGTAGTTTCTCCAAGTGAAATGTGGTGAGTGAAAGCTAGTTAAGCTACTCCTGCAACAGCTGCAGTAAATAAAGTTAAAGATTTTTAATATTCTTATGTCCTGAGATTTTCTGTTCGTCACTTTTCTAACAGACAGGCCTCTTTCAAGCAGGCAGAGAGCAATCTTCCTTATACAATTATAGCGTGATTGTATCAAGACATTTCCTTTTGAATGACTATTATTTGTAATCAGCTATTTATGGCAATTTTAATCTAAATCAAATATAAAATGCTGAGCACCTGTCATTTTTATGAAATTGTGTGGCAACAGTTCAGTATTTTAACTTATGGATCCATATTTCTCAAACAAGCATAAAACTTAACTGTTAACTATTTAACATATATATTTAACAGTATAATTTAAACAGTTTTAGTATGGTCATATTTTAAAAGTATCTTAAGTAAATTGCTCCTGGAGAATACTTGTGAAGATGTTTTGGAAGGATATAAGAAAGTAGGCTTTAGTAAAAGAGAGGAGGTCAGTCAACCCATTTGGTTGGTTTATAGTTAAATGTAATTAAATTTATTTAATTGTACTATGCATAAGTTTTAAGTGTATGTACTGTTTGGCAATATATTTTTGTTAATTTTACAAAATGGTGAGCTGTGAGGTGACTAGATTAAAAGAAAATGGAAATCAGTGAGATAGATTGTACATATTATGATAGGTTTTTACTTCTGTTATACAGTATGTCTTTAGCTTTACAATTCCAAGTCTTTAAGAAACTATTTAAAGAACATTGAAGTGTGCTGTTGACCATGTTCAGTCTAATAATTCAGTTTGTTGGAGCTGAACCTCAAAACCCACAGCATTTCCTGTTGTTCATTTTTATGTTCTGTCAATTTTAGAATTGAAAAAAAAATGTGTAATCACTTAGCTGCACCTTGTTTACATTTGTAAAATCAGTAACTGGAAAATCTGCAGAGTGTTGATTCAATAGACCTAAAAGACTTTCAGAATGCTGAGATGCTACTTATTGAACATTCAAATTCTGAAACCATTTCAAGGGGGATAACTCTGAATTCATTGTTTCATAATGTAATTACAGATACTGACATTAGTTATAGCATGAATACAGTAGCTTTAAGGACAAACACACGACTGCAAACATTGTCCTGCTGTACAAATTGAACATCACTTTAATGTAATAATTACCAAAAACTATATACTGTATACACCTGTACACTTTAGATTTTAAATCAAAGTGTTTTAAAATCACTTTTGCTTTGGAAGAACAATGGTGAAAAAATTGCATATGTTTTAAATATTGCAAATTTTGCTTGTAACTTTCCAATTCATCACTAAGCGCATTATGTTGTGTTCAAAATTATGTTGTAGTTTCATTTGATATATTATACATTTTTGGACTGAGATTGGCATAGTATAATTGAGAAACAAATGTCATTTAAATTGGCAGCTTTCACAGACATTCTAATTGCAAATTAACAACAGAATTCTGTGGAATTCTTCCATAGATCAGTAAATATTTCAAACACAGAATCAGACATTGCTCAGCTGTTTAAATTGTCTGTCTTTTTTCCTGTATTGGTTTAGTTTGTTTTCTCTCTCTTTGTAATTCTTTCTTTGTGATTTTTTCACAGCTGCTGCATTTAAACTCTACTAATCAAACACATAATCTCCAAAGACCTTCATCTCTCTTCTGGTGTCATAATTTGACATCATTTTCTTGCTTAGAAATCTCTTCCATTACACTCACTCCAATGAGCTCTCCTGACTCCAACTTGTCCACTGGGCTACTAACTCCACCTCCTGCTAAAAGCATTCTACCAAAGCCTGCCAACGGATACAGTATTCCAAGGCCTCGTGTAAATCTGTCTTCTTGTCGTTTTTGACTTGTATTTGTCATGAGCAGAATTATTATCCCGCTGTGTATCATGTTTCGGATTGTATCCAAAGTAAATGTTGTATTAAGGATTACCTTGAGAAAAGCTACATAGTACTATTCCACTGCATTGCATTACCCTGTTTAGGTTGTTCTTTATTCTACGATTTAGTAAAAAATTAAGGGATTGTTATAGAAAAACCTGTTTGCATTATAATAGCCCCATTTACACCTGGTTCAATCCTAACCATATACAGTACTTTCCAGGATCCAGGCTGAAATGGACAGTGTTTTTTTAACTTTTCACTAATTAAGGAACACATTGAGATATTGTAAATAAAAAGTGAATCAACAATTGACTACAAATCTTTGTAACAGCGTAAGATTACATTCAAACTTCAGAATGGTGAGAAATATTCTTTGTGGTTGTAATATGCAGTATATTATCTGACACGATTACAACAATAATCAGTTTCATGTGTAGCTATTAGTGTGTCTGTTCTTAATAGATCTAAAAATAGCTGGAAGAAAAAGTGAGAGAATTGCAAATCTGTTTTTTAAAGAAGGAAATTAATTCAATTAAGAGAAATTATTAACCTTTTAAAGAGATTAGTCATACATGCTCAGTATTTACTAAGGACTTTTTAAACATTTTTACAAAACATGATTCACAGTAAAAATGTAAAAATATTATACAAAGAAAGGCAGATATTTAGTGAAGTTATAATACACAAGGTAAGGATTCTCATACTGTATGTTGTAATTGTTTTTTTTTCTATATAGTTTATTCTATGATGTGATATGAAAGAGATTTATAATGCATGGTCACTTAATTTTTTGCATTTTACATTGAATATACCTGTATGTAAATGTATTATTTTAAAAATGTAATGTCCGGATTCTTGTAATTGCATGACAAATATTTTGTAATTTAAAGTAACTTGAATAATCAGAAATGAATGAGAATTGTTAGCTGTTTCATATGCAGGGTGAGATATTGTAAATATAAATTACAGATGTCTTTTAAAAGACACATTCTCATGATTTTGATTTAAGATGTTCTTAATAGATATGGGCCCAAAATTAAATCCTAACTTTGACAATTCCTTTTCCATGACACTTGGTGTACCCAGCCACATACTGTACATGTACCTACTGATTGGCTGGTTGGGTATTTTTTAATACAGAGACTTCCTTAGTTTAAGGACCAAAGTATTTATTTTGTTTTTTCACGTCATTTTACAGGTGGGCAGCATCTCGGTTAAATCTCCATCAACTGACATTTTTGACATGGTTCCATTTTCCCCGGCATCTCCATTGACACCAATACCAGCCAGCAATGGTGCACACCTGCCTCCACTTCCAGGCAGATCTCCGGAGCCCTGTAAGTTAACCTCATAGTGCTGATAAGTACAGCAGCCTCACCTCCATAGTAAAATACTTAATTCTGGTTCATTTTGCCAGAATCTTTATGTGGTTCTCTTTCATGTGGTTATTTCCTCCCCTCCCATTAACAATTTCACAAAAGTGAAGAGTTTCTGAAAGCCAGCTTTAGTCTTTTTAAGAAATTAGGGGCAAAAAAACTGTACTTTAAGAAATAGAGAAACGCATAGATTAAAATATATTTCTGGCACCAAATCTACAACAGGTCGAACAGATTCATGCATGTTTGTAGTCATGAAGCTGCAGCATTCATAAACATTGATATTTATAACATTTTATAAAATTCTAGTATTATAAATGATCTTTTCTTGAGTGTCTCTACACATGATATTGTAAAGATTTTACATTAACTTCATTTCATTATCTGCAAATCTAAATGCTATTAATTGCATGGACAATAGCATTTGTTTGATTAAGGTTTTTGCATGCTGCTTATGATGATTTTGTTTTAGCTAATACAATTTACATTAAACATACTTTGTATGTCAAAGCCACTTCCTTTAGAAAAAAGATGTTCTGTTCTCCATCAGTCATTAATACATTCTTTAGATCCATGTATGAAAGAACATAATAGACAATTCATTATACTTAAGTTGTTATCTTCTGACACTTCGGTGGCCAGTTTGTGAATTTCACAAGCTGGTTTATTTCAATACAAAACAGTGATACTTGTGTCCATGGAGTTAAAAAGTGAAAAATTAATTTGTTTTATCTAAAGGTTAATAAATCTTTGTATTTTACAATTGCCCAGCTCTAGGGAAGGATCTTTTTGGCGCTGAACCTTTTGATCCATTCATCTGTGCTGCAGCAGACTTTCCTCCTGACATTCAGTCCAAGCTAGACGAGATGCAGGTGACTATTTGTTTGTGAATAATATAAATTATTTTTATCGTTAAATAAATGTATGTCTTGGAAGCAGACTCAGTCCCATTTGTTTGAAAAGGAACACATGGTTATACATTTTTCTTATTTACACACATAAACTGTATACAATATACATATATTGTCTATTCTTTTCATGTAAATCCCTAGATGTGATAATATCTTTGCATGAAAAAAGGCTTTCTAATAAGTATAACTTGCTCATTCCTTTACTACCAAAAAACGTATACTGTATACATATGAAGGTGTGTGTATATTGCCTTACAATCAGCTTATGTTATTTGCAAATGAAGCAGGCTGGCTTCTCTGAACACGGGTACATTTTTACATTTAAAAACATTTCTTCTTCACTTTAATCAATGCATTACTGATATTGAAAAGCTGAATGTATCCTCTTCAAAAATATATTACACACATTGATAATAAAACTCTGATTAGTGACAAGCACATGTGCTGCCCATGTTGTACAGTATTTATGTTGTACAGCTTTTGGGGGAAAAAGGACATATTTTTCATCATAAATTTAAAATTAAAGTCTGTAGTATATTAAAGTCTGTTGTATATTGTAATAGAGGAGACAGATTTCAATTCAGTGAAGCCAAGATATTAGTGAATATGGGCAGAAAAGTAAAAAAGCAACAGAGAATTAACTCCCGAAGAAATTACCTGCATGGTTTTTCCAAACTACTGAATAATCTGTATATATTATATTAGGGCTGTCAAACACAGAAATAATTTTGACATATATTTTCATTTGAAAAATAGTTAACTGCATTTTAATTGCTTCTTCAAAATGCAAAAGTACCTTTACCATTTTTAATTGTTGATATTTATGTTAACATCCACAACTAAATGTTTCATTGAGACATCAAAAAAAATTAAATAAAAACACAAATGATATAAAAGAGCCAGAAATGGCTGGAGCATGAAGCCATAATAAGAACATAAATGGTTACAGATAAGGAGAGGCCATTTGGCCCACCTATTCTGTTTCGAAGATCAGGATCTCATACAGCTGTTTCTTGAGAGAAGACAGGGTTTTGGTCTCAACAAATAGGCTGGGTACTCTGTTCCAGACTCCCACAACCCATTCCACTTCTGAAACTTTTCCTTCCCCATTAATTCTCTTCTGCTCTTTGCTTTTTTGTTTACCCCTTGCTTTGAACATTTAACTCTTAAAAGCTCTTAAATGGTTCAACTCTGACCTTCCTGATTGCCAACACTTTATCTCTCTTGGTGGTTTCATTTGTAAGTTGGGTTCGTTAAGTCTGGCGTTCCTCAGGGCTTGATACTGGGCACTGTACTGTTCCGCATTTATATTTTCCCACTTGGTCAACTATTAAAGTTTCATAGATTTATCAAAATCTATTGTAAAGCTCATGTAGTAACTGTATCTGTGGATGGCACTGTACTTGAATTTCAACCTAAATTACAAAACTGTGCAGTGACATTTAATCCAGGCACATTTGACTCACGTGTAAAATATTCTTAAAACACCATTCTTCCATCTCAGAACATTGGCCAGATTATGTCCTATGTTTTCTCTGGCAGTAGCTTAAAAGATGGACAACGTATGTGTCTTCTCTAGAATTGATTACTGCAATGCCTATTTGCTAAGGTGTCTAAATCCACACTAAACAAACTTCAGTATGTCCACAGTTTAGCAGCCAAAATCCTGACCACGTCAAGTATATTACTCCTGTCGTGGAATCCTCGGACTGGCTTCCTATCAGATTTTGAGTTTAATTCAAAATCTTCATGCTCATCTATAAGGATCTACATAGCTTGGCACTTCAGTACCTGGCTATATTAGCTTCCTCCTGTATTATTCACTTTGTAGGCTTTGTTTATTTGGCTTTTGTCTTCTGTTTGTCCCCAAAGCTTGTCTACATTCTATGGATGACAGGGCCTTTTCTTGCTTTATGCCAAAACTCTGTAATTCTATGCCCAAGGAAATTAGAGAGCCACCTACCCTGAGCTCTTTCAAATCCAGACTCAAAATCTTCTTCAAAAAGGCTTTTATTTAATTGAGGTCTGTCTGCCCCTTTGCATCTTCGGCTGCATTCTAAACCCTTGTTTTCAATTGTGCTAATTCTATTATTTCCTTTTTTTCCATACTATAAAGTGCTTTAAGAAACAATTTTAAAGGCACTATATAAAATCATTTTTTTATCAAAACTCTGCAAACCAACAGAGGATCATCTCTTTCCTCAGTCATTATGTTATTGCTTACTGGGGTTTGACACTCAAGATACTGTACAACTGCAATTTGATTAAACTCGACTGAACTCTGTAGCGATTTCACAATTTTTCATAGTGTAGAGTATGACACTGCTTCTTGTTAATTTGGATGGTTTTGTTAATTTGGTTTCAGTAAGAATACAGACTAACAGTACAGCAGGTATGCGATCTGCTTTTTATCTTTTTGATAAACATTATTTTCGATTTGCACTCTTGCCTTTGTTTATACATTGCTTGCATCAATTGGGTTTGTGTCTAAGATAAAATGTGTTGTTATTCTATTGTCTACAGTAGAAGAACTGAGAAATTTATTTTGAGAAGTGATGCAGATACTAAAGACTTAAAAATGTAGTTCTATAATACTGGAGCTCAGTCTGTCAATAGATACAGTTAAATGTATTTTTATCTTTCAGGAATTGCCATTTATAAATCCTTCATATTCTATGCCTTTGGTCCATAAACATTTCTTTTTTTTCCCTTTAGGTAGCTTCTACTCAGTCCATTAAACATGCAGTAAAACAACAGGAATGTTTGGTATGCTAGTAGGAGAGTTTAAACAAAGTAAAAATTGATGTTCTTGGACATTGATTACATAGGTTAATGTATCTATTCATCTTTACATTTAGCATTTCATATTTCATCCAGTATTTTACTTTATTGTGCAGAAACACAGTTCTATGGTGTTTCACAAATTTAAGCATTTGTGTTTGAAGGTAATAGCTTCAAGGTAATAGAGAGATCTGTATTCCACAGACTGAAAAGAAGAATTCTAGCTGAGTAGTGTGAATTACAATATATGCTGTATTAATGATGAATATCTGACAGTTAGCTCAATTTAATTATATATTTGTGGATTACCTGCAACATCACTTCACATTTGCTGCTAATGTATATTTTATCTTGGGTTGATGTCATCAGTTTCTTAAACATTTTGATCAATGGGAATTTAAAATTGCTAAATGACAATAGTGGTTTCTTTTCATCTAAACTACGAAGAAATAATAGCAGTCAAATTTGTTGTAATACTAGAAAGAAAACAGTGAAGGTTTTTGAGTAAATTGTTGATACTCATAATATGTATTGTAACTTATATACAATAAATTGTAACTATATTATATTCTATCTAGAATATCTAAGACTTTTCAGCAGTGATCTAAGTTCTGTATATGTTATGACTTGAAGCATGCTTAGGCAAAATGATATTGTGGTACACTTAGGGGCAGAGTGCTGTAATACAGATCTTGTAATAGGTTAGTCTTGAGAAAACATACAAATAAATACAGCCATAAAATAAAAATAAAACAAATAAAACAAAGAGCCTAGCTCTAACAGCTCTTCTTCTTGGGCCTTTTCTATAAATAGTTTGGCACCTAAGGTAGTTGTTGGCATCAAAATCCCCAAACTTTCTCTGAAAACCAGAGGCTCTTTTTCAAAACTCACTCTTTCTGAAATCTTACATCTCTAAAAACACATAACAAGACCATGGACTCATCATATAGTCATTTTCTTCCTTGCTTCCTTCTCCCTCTAGTGCAGTGCATAACAGGAGCCCTTCTGGCACCCTAGCCAGCAGAGGTTGGAGGCCAACTAGAAACCCCTGCTTTCTGATGCTGCTTTTTTTACCCGTCCAATTATCTGCCTCCAACTGGTCTGGTGACTAAGGATGGCAGGTCATTCCCCTTTGCTCTCTTGGGAATGCAGTTCAGACAAGAACCTCCATCTTGTTCCACCTTCTTCCTTTTACAATATGTGATCATGTAGTACCTTATTGAGTAAAATTTTAAGAGTTGTAAAGGTGTGATTTGTTTTACTTGCTTCAGTGTTTTTTTGTACAGTTCACACAAGAACATAGTATTACTGAAATATTTTCTGTATTATCTAATGCAGGGGTTTCCATTTGTGATCCTGTAGTCCCACAAACCTGGTTATTGTTCCAGTCAAGCTCTCAGACAATTTTGTACCATTAATTATATGATTACTTTGACCTTTTTTGATAGCTTTCAGTTCTTAAACTTTTAAACTTCTTAAAACTTGCAAATGTTCCACTCATGCAGTGTATTAGTTCAGTTACAGCTCTACTTATGTAATTAAACTTGGCTGGATTGCAAACCACATAGGACCAGAATAGGTAACTCTTGCTCTTATGTTACTTTATTTTAATGTTACTTTTATAATGAACATGTAACTATAGCAACCACTTTGCTTTAAGCATTAATCCACTCATTTGGAGCTACACAGAATGTTAAGACACTATAACAAGTGCTGTTTAAAGCCCCTTTTGCATTGACAGCCATTACAACACCTTACTTCAAAGAAGATGGTCCTTCTATTTGGTTTTGTGAAACTAACAAACTTGGGTAAGCCCAAATACCTCAGAATTTTTCACAGCAGTAATAGAAGTGATAGCACTTATGTAAGTACTAACTGCTGTTCTTTAACTTTATAGATTTAGACCTTCAGGGATAGTGGTTTTCTTGTGTTATGTTTCTGTTTAGTTACTATACTCAATTTGACAGATTATTTTTATGCAAAGTTTATATGTTCTAGCAACCAAGGTAGTCATTGTTTAAGTGTCAGGAGTTTTCAGGATTTTTGTTGAACACATACAGTATCTCCATTTGTAGTAAGCTATGGCATACCTTTAATTTGTAAAGGAGTTAAAATCAAAGATGATGCATAATATTCACTGCTTATTCTGCAGCAGCACAATGTACTTTGTATCTTCAGTGAAATGCAAACTTTATTTTTTTATAAAAATACAATGTATATATACTGTATATGCCGTATTGATTCCTAGCACCTATTATAATAGTGTTGAGAGAAAAGCAAAAGATTAAACTGTGTAATTTTTTTTTTCAAGCACTTTTGTATTTGCCTCTCCTACTTTAGCCCCATTTCAATCTTGATTGTGTCCTGGGGTAAAAACTGTGGCAGGGATTTGTACCAAAAGACAGTATTTATCACCCTTGTTGCATTAACATAACCATTATATTTCGCTTCAACTCATACCTTGAATGAGATTAAGAAATTATGGATGAAAAATTAAAATTAGCAATAATTTGCCTATAGTATGAATAGTCTGAACTTGAAGGTCCTCGTCCTTTTCCATCCAGATGAGGCATGTCCTTAAGTTACATTCAGACCAAACATGACAGTTTCAGCATGTATTCTCTCCACAGCTGTACAGTCACAATGAGAAGGGTGGTGCCAGTACTGTCTGACTTACAGGCTCATAGTTTAACATCTGCATCTCATTTCCCATCTGTTAAGTTGGAATAGTATTGAAATAGCTTTATATGATGGTGATATGTCTTTATAAAGATCCAAGTAAAATCAAATTGGAACAGCACTGTTATTTTTTTAAATACTACAGTCAACTCTGTAGTAGTAGCCTCACTTAAACAATACTTGAACAATGTAAAATGACAGAAAAATAAGCTGCTTAATTTTTATTGTTGATCCTTGCATAGTTTCTGCTATTATTGCAGAGGAGATAAAGTACTTATAAGGTCATATGATTGTGACTCTTAATCTTGACTAGTTGAAAATACATCTTCTGATGCACCTGGACAAATCATCAGTGATCTAACCTGGGGTCACTGGGTGTTTTGGATCTGTCAAATCTATGACACCCTAGCCCAGCCAATACAGCCATGCTTGTTGAAGCTCCAGGTAGCGTCCAGATGGCCTTGTTCACCCATGTTATGCCCAGAAGACTATCGGTCCTACAGAGGGACTGGCCTGAAAATCCTCTGCAGCCCACCATGACAGGGTTAGACTTTACTCTCTATCCCTTCCCATGGCACTGGTTAACCAGGTCTTCATACTTGGGTCTCTTCCTTTCATTGGTCTCCTCTGTCCGGTCTTCTCAGGGAATCAGTAGCTTTAGCATGACTGCAGTTCAATGTCTGGTCTGAATGAGGTCATTCCAATGGTGTCAGGGAACCTTCTGTTGGTAGTTCTTCACCATCACGAGGAGACTCGCTGATACACTAGGTTGTGGTTATGGCTCCTACCCAGCCATGGCGAATGCAATAGCCCAGTTTGCTGGGTGCTGATGTTTACTGCTGTTGCAGGTTGTTTTTTCTATTGCTTGAGCATATTTGTCCAAACAGAATTCACTTCTTCAAAAACATTAACATGCACCCCAAACTGTAATAAGTTGGACAAAATGCAACATTCCATTAGCAAAATACATTAAGACACAAAACATTGAATACATGACAGAAAATCAATGACCTCCATCAAAACATGTATCTAAAGAAGTTTCAATTAGTTGTTACACACTGGCCTAGTAAACACTAACTACAACTATCAATATACCCCAATATGGTTTACCTTCTTTTATTGTATATTTCTGTGCCATTTCTTGATATGTAATTATAGCATGCACCATAAAAGGTAAGCAAACATATTTTCACAGCATAGGCTGTATTCTTTTTTCTTGAAGTGATTTTTACCAAAGATGACCAATGCAGAAAGACTTTGACCATGAATATCCAGAAATAAAAAGCTTTATTTTAACTTTTTTCCATTTTGTCCTTTATAAATTCAATTATGTTATATATACAAAGAATTAAAATGAAATACACCAAGTTAACAAATTACTATAATATAATGCTAATATTAAAATGTCAAATAGGCTACACAAATACAGTATAAACCACGTTTGGTCCATCCATGCTTGTCGATCACATTCTTATCAGGATTACACTGAATGCAGCAGCAAGGAAAATATCTCTTTGTATTGTTCATCCAAGCCTGGTAGTTCTCTTCTGTTATTGCCAGACAAGATGCATGCATTGTGTCTAAGAGGGATGACATCTGGTCATGTGGATGGTAATCATAGACTTTCCAACTTCATGCAGAGAATAATTCTTCATTGGACTGAGGAGATGAGAGTACAGAGGGAGAAATTGGCTCATCATTTGTGGGTTGGCTGGAAACCATTCCGTAACCAGATGGGAGTGGTGGAAAGCAAAGATGAATCAGGACATGTTAAGCATCACAATTCCTCTCTTTTCTGATGGTACCACTCTCTGGTGCAATACAACAACAAATATGAGGAGACATTCTGTATTGTATGGATCAATTGTAGGGATGTGGTAAGAGAGGTGGAGAAGGGATCATCTGTCAAGATCTCTAACAATCTTATTGAATTATTGCCCCTGCCACCTGTGCTTGGTTTCATTTGAATCCTTTAAATACAGTAAATAATTCACATTTTTATGGTCACATAAAGGGCATTGATAGAACAACTGTTTTACACATATATTTACTGTGTAGAGTACAGCAATACTGAAATACATTTTGGTATATCCCTATGACTTACCTGTTTTCATTCTTGAGTTATCTTACTATTGATGACAAAGTTGATCTATTGAGCTTGGGCTGGACGCTTTGCCCACCCTGTCTCATGATGGCCATCATTGACAACATGGACAATAATTATCGCATGGATTTTATCTGAAACATTAGCTCTTCGTATTCCCTTTTGAGTTACTCCACCACACATCGGTACCTTTCTTCCTCTATGGGTTCCTCTTCCTCTCCTTTGTCCTTGCCCTCATCCTCAGCCTCTGATTTGGTCCATTCTTGCACATCAGATGCAACCTCTTTTATACATAAGAACTGATTGCAGATTGGACATTTGTGTAAAGATGTTTTGCACGTGTGTGTAAGAGGTTCACAGTCATGGGAGTAATTTCTATCAGCTGTGACCAAATGTTTCAATTTGGTTTAAGATGATTTACTTGAATACTGTTGTACTCATAAGGTTAATATGGAGATCAGGTGGATCCATTTTCATCAAAAATTGTCTAAGCAATCAAGAAAATAGTGTCCCCTAAGGTCTTCAGCACCTGGTTGTGGCTCCATTAATAGCAGCCTTTCTTCAACATGGTGATGTGCTCCAGCGTCACTCATCCTGGGCACAATGGGCATGCTGGAGAATTGACTTTTCCCCATCTTAAGAGGTTAGATGGGCTAGGTAGAAAACTGCCTGGAATTTATTACAATGGCAAACAGCCAGCCAAATCTCGGACCATGAGATTTCACGGTCTTCCAACTTTGTCTTGCTGATGCATCCCCACCATCCTGCTGGTGTGCATCTCCTACACCCGTGCTCTCACTTCCTCTTGGACCAGCTTTCACCTGTCTGTGCCTTGGGCCTTAATGTAGTATGTTCTTGGAAAACTGCCCAGGCCATCTCATCCAGAAGACACAGCCCCTACCAGTAAATTGTGTCTCAGTCGTGCTTCAGCCCACTTGACTGCATCCTGTGCTCTCAACTTCCACAAACTCCTCACTTTAATTCCAGCCAGGGAGTCTTTAGGGTCACTGGATTCTCTGTACTGCAGCACCTCTCTTGTCCAGGACACCATGACCTCTTAGTTCAGTCTGCTGATGAGGACCCTCAGCTTGTACTTCTGCCGATACAGAGCAGTACTGCTGAGGATTTGTGCCAAGTCCCACCACCCGTAAAGGTACTGGCAGATCTTCCTCTCCAAGTTCTCCACCATCGTCATTGGGACTTTGTAGACTTAAGAGTGTCCAGAGGATCTCATGTAGGCCACCATTTTGGTAAATCCAGACCTTAAATTTGCCGGGCAATCCTGACCTATCTACCATCCACCCCTTCAGCTCCTGGCTGGTTGCCTGGGTGGCTGCGGTGTACTCAGGCCGCATTCAATTAACTTGACCAGCCTCTTGAGTGGCTTCTCTGTAATGTCAACAACCTTGCCCCTCTTCTCAACTAGTGACCTTGATTTTCCAGGCTTAAAATCATTTTTGCTCAAGTGAACAGCTTCTCCAGGCCTAGCAAGATCCACCTGCTCCCTGGCACTGATGTTGTGACAGTCGGGGCATCCATAAAAGCTCTAACTGGGGGCTGTCTCATGCCACAGTTGGTTAATGGGCCTCTGCACTCCACTTACGCTGACTTGACCAGCATATTCATGGCTAGAGCAAAATTAATCCCTGAAATGGTACAGCAAGTGATGATTCGCTTCTCCATCTGGAGCAAATCTGATATTATAGAGGTAACTCTTAGGCTGAAATTGTTGTAGTCCAAGATAAGGTTCCTGATGGACCTTCCATAGCACGTAATGCTGCACTTACGGTATTTCCACCAGCTTGTAGGGTATCAACCCATATCCATTGGTATGGTTTAACCACAGCACAACCTCAAAGTCTCCCTTGCCTTCTCATGCCAACTTGATCAGCTGTGTGACCACACCTGTGTTCTCCAAGCAATCTGGCACCTTAGGGATCCCACCCTACCACACTGATGTATTGTTTTCACAATGCTGAGAAATATATTCCCCTTAGTGCTACACAGTGAAATAATCCTGAACTGTTCAATATTCTTTGAGTTCTCCTCTTTAGGAATACAGACACCCTCGGCTGATCTCCACTGTTGTGCCACTCTGCCCCTTTTGCCAGACTATCCTCATAATCTTTCAAAGCTGATGGAGAAGTTTTGGGCATCGTTTGTATACCTTATAAGGTACTCTACTCAGGCCAGGTGCTGAGCTCGCTCTAGCAGCTTTGATAACCTTCTGAATCTCCTTCCAGTTGGGTTCCTTTTCATCAAGGTCAGTGCCAGGTCTTAATGGATTCACTAAGGCTTTGCAGTTCCCTAAATCTTGTCTCCTATTGCAGTAGTTATTCCTGAGATAACAATTC